ACGACCTGTTCCGTCAGCGCTTTGGCCCGGCGCCCGACCTCCCGGACTGGCACAGCTTGCTTAGGCGTAGCATTCAGATTTTTGACTTGGACATGGATGCCATTGTAGCCGCCTTGCATGTGATGTATGCTGATGACTCTAGTGTGCTTCCCTCTTATTACCCTGTGTTGCCTAGTGTAGATGTGCCTAGCGTAGACTCCCCTGCTGCGTCAGGCGTAGGATCTCCTGCTTTGCTTAGCCTCGGTGCTTCCACCGCTTCACTGCCGCCTCGCGTGACTGCTGCGCTTTCCTTCACCTTGGACTCTGGCGCCTCCCGGTGTTTCTTCCGCGACTCCACGACGCTGACGCCGCTGCCTGTTCCCGCTGCAGTTACTCTTGCTGACCCCTCCGGTGGTCCCGTCGTTGCCCGCAGTTCCACCTCCCTTCCCTGTCCGGCGGTTCCTTCAGGTTTGCTCACAGGTCTGCATATCCCCTCGTTCTCCAGAAACCTAGTTGGTGTCGGCTGCCTCCAGGACCTTGGCGTCACCACTACGTTCCCTGGTAACGAGCGGTATGCTGTCTGTACTGAGGCCGCCACTGGTGCCCCCCTTACCACTTTCCCCCGGGACCCGGTGTCCGGCCTGTTCACACTTGACACCGCGACTTCTCCGGCTGGGTCTTCCCCCCAGGTCGCTGCGTCCACCCAGGTTGCTGCTGCGTGCTCCTGTCGGTCCCTCACTCACCCGACTCTCCTTTGGCACCACCGCCTTGGTCACCCTGCACTCCCGCGTCTGCGTCACATGTCCCAGCACGGTCTCGTCCTTGGTCTCCCCGGTTCGTTCCCCGAGTTTCCCTCCTCCCCCGCCCCCCCGTGCACGCCTTGTGTCGAGGGCCGGCTCCGCCGTGCCCCTCACTCCTCCTCGTTTCCCCCTACCACCGCACCACTGCAGACTCTGCACATGGACGTCTGGGGCCCCGCCCCGGTCCATGGGCCGCGTCGCGAGCGCTTCTTCCTAGTGCTTGTCGACGACTTCACGCGCTACACCACTGTCTTTCCCCTGGAGCGGAAGGCCGACGTGCCTGACGCTCTCATCCCCTGGCTTGTCTCTGCTCGCGTCCACCGCGGTCTCCCAGCCTTGCGCCTCCACTCCGACCGGGATGGCGAGTTTGCCTCAGGTGTCCTTGGTCGCTTCTGTCGTGCAAAGGGCATCACCCAGACGTTTACCCTGCCGGACTCCCCGCAGCAGAATGGGGTCGCTGAGCGACGCATCGGTTTGGTCATGGAGGTGGCTCGCACCTCCATGATCCACGCCGGTGCACCCCATTTTCTGTGGCCGTTCGCCGTGCGCTACGCCGCTCACCAGCTTAACCTGTGGCCGCACCCCCAGCGGCCGCCGGTTTCGCCGACCCTTCTGTGGACCGGGTCCCCTGGTGACGCGTCTGCGTTCCACGTCTGGGGCTGCCTTGCTCACGTTCGTGCCTCTGGCACGGACAAGCTCACTGCCCGCACCCTCCCCTGCGTCTTCCTCGGTTTCCCCCTTGACGCGTCCGACTGGCACTTCTACCACCCGCCGTCTCACCGCTTCTTTCACTCTCGCGACGTCACCTTTGACGAGTCCGTCTCCTTCTACCGCCGCTTCCCCCACCGTGGTCCCCCGGTTACTCCCCCCCTGTTCCGGTCACTCCTTCCCCGGTGGTCCCTGCCCCTCCCCCCCCCCGCCCCCCGTCCGGCCCCCTCTGGTGTGTCTCACGTCACCCCCCTCCCGTCGGTCGTCCCGGTCGACGAGTCTTCTGACTCTGGTAGTCCTCCGGCGCAGTCCTCGCCGTCTGTCCCTCCCCCAGTGTCTCCTCCTCCACCGCCTCCGCAGCCGTCGTCACCGCAGCTGCTGCAGCCGTCGTCTCCACCGCCGCCGCCGTTGCAGCCGTCCTCTCCGCCGCCACCGCCGTCGCGGCCGTCGCTGCCGCTGTTTGTGGACTCTGGGGGTGCTGGCGTTGAGGTGGGTCCTAGTCCCGGGGCTCCTGTCGTGGCTTGTTCCGGGGGTGGTACCGGTGCTGGCGGGGTTTCGGGCTCTGGGGGTGTCCCTTCTGGGGGTGCCGGTGTGGAGGGTTCGGGAGGTAGCCGTCGCGCAGGTTGTGGCCCTGGCGTTGGTGTTGTGTCGCTGCAGCAGCAGTCCCCGCCAGTGTCTGCCCTCCGTCTGCTCGGCCTTCCGTCCCCTGACCCTGCGCCTGTTCCTCACCTGCCGTCTCCTCCTCTTCCCATCTACGGCCCCGTGTTCCCTCCGCCGGACTCGTCCCCGGCTCGTTTTCCCCCTCGTTCCCCACCAGTGTCCCCTCCTCTGTCTCCTGACCCGACGCCTCCCTCTCACGTCTGGTCTCGCCGCCCCTCCCGTGCTCGTCCTGTCTCCCCCGTCCCGCGCTCTCACCCTATGTTGCTCCGGTCCCACGCGTCTCGTCCTCCCCTCCTCCCGTCTCCTCCTCCGTCCTCTCTTGTCGTTGCGTCTCCTCCTCTGTCTGACTACTTTCGTGCCGCTCGTCCTCTTGTTCCTCGGGTCCTTGCCTCTCTCGTTACCGACCCGTCTGTTCCCGTGTCGAGTCTGGACGCCCTTCTCGCTGCGGTCACTGACTTCGCCTCTACCCGCCGCCTTGACTACGCTACCGCTCTGGTCTCTGACCCTGCCTGTCCTCCGTCTGTCGGGGGTGCTCCTGCCCTCGGCAGTGACGTCCTGGAGGACCGCCAGTTTGAGCTTGCTTTCCTGTCCGAGGCTGCTCCCCATCTCTGTTCCATGCTGCTAGTCCCTGAGGGTGACCCAGACGCTTTCGACATCCCGACCCCTCGTACTTACGCTGAGGCGGTTTCGGGACCCTGGGCCTCTCAGTGGATAGCTGCCATGGAACAGGAGATGGCATCTTGGAGATCCACCGGCACCTTCGTCGACGCAGTTCCCCCACCTGGGGTGAACGTGGTCGATGGCCGTTGGCTCTTCAAGGTGAAGCGCCCTCCTGGAGAGCCGCCTGTGTTCAAGGCGCGCTACGTGGCTAGAGGCTTCAGTCAGCGCGAGGGGGTGGACTTCTTTCAGACTTTCGCTCCTACACCGAAGATGACTACTCTTCGGGTTCTGTTACACGTAGCGGCTCAGCGTGACTACGAGCTTCACTCCCTCGACTTCTCCACTGCCTTCCTTCAGGGCAGCCTTCACGAGCAGGTCTACCTGCGTCGTCCTCAGGGCTTTACTGGCACTTTCCCCCTTGGGACCCAGTGGCTTCTGCGGCGCCCAGTCTACGGCCTGCGCCAGGCGCCTCGTGAGTGGCACGACACGATGCGTGCTACCCTTGCTGACCTGCAGTTCTTTCCGTCCTCTGCTGACCCCTCGCTCTTCGTTCGTGCTGGCCCGACTCCGTTCTACATCCTCGTCTACGTAGACGACCTGGTCTTTGCCACAGCTGACAGGGACGCACTGGCCTCCGTGAAGGCAGAGCTGCTGAAGAGACACACCTGCACTGACCTTGGAGAGCTGCGCCGTTACCTTGGCTTGCAGATCTCCAGGGACAGAGCCGCGCGCACCATCACCCTGACTCAGTCACACTTGGTGCGTCAGGTCCTTCAGAGGTTCGGCCTTCAGTTCTCCTCCGCACAGCCCACCCCTCTTCCTCTGGACCACAGACTCTCCGCTCCAGTTTCTGAGGAGTCGGCAGATCCCAGTGGTCCTTACGCTGAGCTAGTGGGTTGCCTCATGTACCTGATGACTTGCACTCGCCCAGATCTCGCATACCCTCTCAGCATCCTGGCTCGTTTCGTGGCCACAGGCAGACACCGACCTCAGCACTGGTCTGCTGCTAAGAGGGTTTTGCGTTATCTTGCAAGTACATCGGGCATGGGGTTAGTGCTAGGCGGACGCAGGCCAGTGGTCCTTACTGGACACACAGACGCTTCTTGGGCAGACGACGCCGAGACGCTCAGGTCTTCCCAGGGCTACTGTTTTAGCCTTGGCTCAGGTGCTGTCTCGTGGAGAGCTACCCGCTCCTCGTCTGTTGCCCAGTCCAGCTGTGAGGCTGAGATCTACGCCGGTGCCATGGCGGCACAGGAGCTCCGCTGGCTGACCTTCTTGCTCACTGACTTAGGTGAGCGCCCTAGCTCTGCCCCGGTCTTGTACGCTGACAACAGGGCCATGATCCTCCTGTGTCAGGAACCTCGACTCGAGGGTAGAGCGAAGCACATCCAGCTGCGGTACTTCCTCCTGCGCGAGCTACAGCAGCGTCGCCAGGCTCGCGTAGTACACTTGGCCTCCGGTGCCAACACAGCTGATATCTTTACGAAGGCGCTTGCGCCTAAAGATCATCAGCGGCACTGTGTACAGCTTGGTCTGGTTCCTGTAGTCCCTCACTTACTCGGGCCTTGACTTTGTACTGTCCTATATATATGTGTACACTCAGACTGGACTTGTGTCCTCTCACAGTGGTTGGACTAGTAGTGCCGCCCTGTACTTGTTCTTGTCTTGTCTGTACTCCTTCTGACTGGTCTTTTAGACCCTTGTCTCAGAGGCTGGACTAGTAGTGCCGCCCTGAGCTGCTTGTCTAGGACATTCCCCTATGCAGTCCAGGGGGTGTGTCAAACATGTAGGTATTATTGATCATGTTTGTATAGACTGTATAGGGTAACCTCCTAGAGGGTACAACATTTAGGTATATGTGCATGTACTCTCTAACTCTATCATTCATTAAAATTCTAGTTTTGAGATGAGCCCCCAGGTCTGGAGCTCGCACGTTGTGCTGTATCGGCCTCCACAGCGGAAGGGCGGACATCGGAGGGGGGTTTCATGGACAGAGCAGCGAGTTGGTGGCGGCGGCAGCGGAAACCACAGGTGGCGGGTTTGTCTGCACGGGGAGGCGAGGGGAACAGGAGCCGCCCGCACTCCGTGGCGGAAAAGGCACGGCGGCGGGCGGGCGGGGCAGCACTGGGTGTGGCGCAAACATAGTGATGTGTGGCGGCACGTGCTCGCGCGGAGCAGCCAGTGAGCACGTGACGCAAAGGCGGAAATGGCTCACCGTCCAGTGGGAGTGAGGGATACCGATAGAGAGGCTCTGAAGGTGAAAAGTTCGTAGTTTGAGGGACTGCAGCCGTTGTTGCCGCTGGGGATTGAAGGGAGCGATGGCACGCCATGGTGTGAAAGGGTTACGTTAGGTGGGATTGTTCTCGAAATGTGATAGTAATGAAGGTGTGTGACTGAGCAGCGCGGCGGAGAGCAGGGGAAGTGATGGCTGTTGAAGAGAGCACCAAGAGTCTCAGTGGTAGTAGTGCTTGGAGTGCTCGGAGAGCTCGGAGTGCTCGGAGTGCTGCTAGCACGGATGGGATGGTAGAGAACTACGAGTAGTACTCATATGGAAAATAACTTGTTGACGAAGTACTAGTACTAGTACTACTAGTAGTGCTTAGTAAGCACGCAGCGCCAGGCCTTAAGGTGGACCACTGGAGAGAGGTTTGCAGGCCGTAGGGTGGGCCGGACCGCTAAGCTCTGCGTGCTTAGTACTAGCACCATGACTGTTGCGAAGCTCGGAGTCCGTTAGGACTTTCGGAAGCTTCCTGCCCTCCTTCGCATCCACCGTCAACTGGCGTCTCGACCGTCCTTCCTTCCTCCATCGATTATCGACCGTCGGTCGTCCATCGTCGATCGCTGATCGTCGACACCACAGTGACTGTGGCGGTCGTCCCCTCCAGGCGGCCCGCGGAGGCTCGTTCGTTTGCTCCGGCTCGGAGCAGAACGTTTCGAGTCCATTCAACGCACACCACGACTCGATCGAAGCACTCAATCTCCGACCGACACGTCACGAGCTGGCACTGTGTAGCACAACGTTACGGGGACGGGAGCTGCAGCATTGCCGCGACGCTTCGCGCTGCATTCGACGCGACGCTTCGCGATGCGATGCATCCGAGCCAACAACGAGGCACGGTAGTACGCTGCTACGCTGCCATAACAGAAAGGGGTTTCAGCTCCGGAAGCTCGAGAATGATACGGAATTTGCTAGATCTGCGAACGTCGGATGCAGTGTGGTAGGGAACGGGAAGCTCTAGCGAGAATGACGATGGCGTTCCACGCGCAGATAAATGCTGAATGTGAGAACTCCAGCATTGCTTGGAGTGAAAATGCTTCTACAGTACGATGCGGGTGTTTCGCACTGCTGACAGATCGAGAGAGATTACGATGCTACGATCAAATGATCCTAAAAGGAGGATACGTTCTGCAGCTACAGAAACTCGAACCGTGAAGGGGGAGCCATAGAAATGGCTCACTGGCAGAGCAAGTGGTAAGGGCATGTGGCAAGTAGAAGTCGAAATGATGGGACTGGACCGTTGGTCAGGTACAACGCGGTAAAGTGTGATTTTGTTTGTTTCAAAACAATTGTTGAGAGGTACAGAAGTAAACGACCAGACGATGGGAGCGGAGGGATGAGATAGAATGGCTCACAAGATACTATATTGCACTCAACCGTACTGAAGATAATCGAAATACTTCGATGTGCGAGATTCAGGGGTTGAGATAGCAGGGGAAGAGGTGGTGGTTTGAGGATGGCAGAATCGGGGGCCTCGTAAGGCGTGTCCAGACTGGATGTCGACGACATCCGTTAACATTCACCGAGGGTTACAGCACGGTTCGTTTACGTTTTCGTTACCCGATGCAGGCGTTTGTATATAACTACGATCGGTTCTCCCGCATCCGTTTCCCGACGGATGTTCACATCCACTCTTGGACACGCTCCAAAATGACTCGACATTGTGCCGTCCGTCATTGAGAGGACGGCAAATAGCCGGTTCAGCTTGCCCATTTTACCGCAGCATAACAGTTAGGTGCTAAATCAATGTTGAATATCATAATAAGACTCTACGGTAAGGATTCACATTCCATTATTAGTCACTTGGTCTATATGGGTACTCATCGAACAATTGTTATCATTGCTATGCAACAAAACAAGGGGAAATTGGCAAATCTGTAGATGTTGGGGATTTCAGATTTTGCAAATATGTACACTTAATGGTAAGGGAAGAATTCTATCTGCCTATGCAACATACTCCAAAACCTCAACATATCTGACAAAGTTCACCCGCCTCGGGCTCCTCCTGGGCGAGCCCTCTTCAGGGTTACTGGTAGTGGTGGTGGTGCTAGAAGGCGCAGTGAGGCACGGCTTGACAAGCTGGGAATTCCCAGTCGCAGCCCTCCTGCTACAGCAGTCGCCGCTTGTGGTGGTGGTGGTGCTGCTGCTGCTGCAAGCCCCTGGTGAACGGGGAGAGGAAGGAGCACTGCTGGGCCTCGCACTGCTTCCCCTGCTCCCACTGCTTCCCGGCTGTCGTCCTCTCATGGCTCTCCTTCCCCGCACAAGAAATGGCATGCACCCTCTCGCGGCTGCACTCTCTTCATCGCATGATGGTGTCCTTGCTGGATGTGCAGCAGCCATTGCACGATCTGCTTGATGTAGCTCGGATTCTGTCCGAGATGATGACGCTTCCGCATGTGATCCGACCATCTGCGTGTATGGATCTGCTTGATTCGCCAGCCTGCTTCGGACCACAGTCACTGGGGTGGAATAAGCGTTACTCCTGGCGAAGACTCGAGACGTCGCGCGTTTATCATCTTCAGGAGAGAAGTTGAACGAGCTCCCAGGATTTGAGCCCGAGCGCTGGGTTGCCGCGACTTTGGAGGGGGATAACTTCGAGAGCGTGAGCTGGTGGCGGCGGCGGCGGAACGCGCAGGTGGCGGGTTTGTTCGCGCGGGGAGGCGAGGGGGACAAGATTCTTCCGCACTCGGAGGCGGAAAGGGCGCGGCGGCGGGCGGACGGCGCCGTGTTCCCGCCGCAGCGAAGGGCGGCGGAACTTCCGCATGAAGCGGCACTGGGTATCGCGTGGAGAGCTTGCGCAGAGCAGCTAGGACGCACTGGCGGGCGAGAATGCCGCGCAAACAACGCGTCCGACGCGTAAAAGTCTAGCGCGAGCTGCGGCTCGTTGACGTCAGCAGACGGATATAGATCGAGAGTCTCAAAACGTGTGTACGCGGATTGCGGAGTTGTTGGCTGTTGAAGCGAGAGACGGGCCGCCATGATGTGACAGGAAACGGGGGAAATGGGGGAACTCGTCAGAAATCGTCTAACAGTAGTAACATCACAAAAATGTGGACCTCTCCTATATTGTAGGTATAGTTGTTCGTATAGCAAGGCTACTCCGTAGCAGACGTACCTATGCCATACCTACTGTATACCTACTCCGTATTTCTGATCCTGGAATTTTGGGATGAATGTAGGCGGCTTTGTGAGGAGCAGCGCAGAGCAGGAAAATAGGCGGTTGCGGAGAGCAGTAGTACGGGTAACACCAAATGTAGAGATTGATGTCTGACAAGCAACTACGCGCAGCATTTTATGGTGGCAGTGCGAAGCTCAGGCGCTCGGATTTCTTCTCTAGTGAGCTCCGCCCACTCTCCTGGTCCTTTCCTCCGACCAAAACGCATGTCGCGTCGTCGCCACCACTGGGGGGAAGCTGATCATATCACCACGATGCAATCGACTCGAATCCATGCGAGACACGGTACGCCCACCACAGCAGAAGACTTCAAGGCCCAACCCAATAAGTTCATCGCCAGGGTGCTTTACGAAATCGAGATTTACAATCGCATGTCGAGGACGGGGGGGAGCTCCAGCGAGCACTACAGTACCGCCTTCCACGTCGGATATATCTACAAATGTGCGATGGAGAGTAACGCACGTCAACGGATCACGTGAAAAAATCAGGTGACGGAAAATCTGCCGTGAAAATGGATGTCGAGCTCGTGAAGCAACATCAAGAGCGAGATTAGGAGATGGATCTACAAAAGAATTCCTTTTCAAGCCTAGTTTGTTTTCAGACGATTGATCCAGAATCAAGCGCAAAACTTTCACGGGCGAAAGGGGGCCAATATAAAGTAGTCTGGTTACCAAGTTGGCATTTTTCAGTCTAAAGCGGGTGACCGTTGTTGTTTCTTATGCGTTCCTCGGACAGCAGTGTGGGGCCTCAGAACGTCCCGTCTGCACGTTTGGAGGTCTCAATATCAGGTGAGGTAACTGCTGGAAATCAGTGGGCCTCTGTGGGTTGAGCCGTTGCCCGTGTGTTCGAACCAATAGGCCTGTAACTAGACCCGTAGCGTCTAATGAATGAGCAATTCACTGGACTAAAGGTGTATCAGACTACTTGGCACTGTGCGATCCAATGTCCCCAATTCAGGAGGATCAAATGGTATCGAAAGGCAGATTTATTGAAATGCATACACATCATCTTGGTTACAGGAGTCGAAGTTACAATAGAACTACAAAAATACAATAAGACTTGTTCTGTTTCCCAGCCTTAGTCGCCCTGCTTATAGTCGCCCACGAAGAGAATCTGAATCGAGATCAAAAGCAATGATTGTGGCAACCCAACAATCCACCAATCAAAACACACTCAAAGATCTTAACAAATGGAAAATAGATCAATGTGAATTCTGATCTAAATCACCATAAAGGATCTCGCCTACTAGTAGAGTTATAATACAACACGTCAGATTCGGCACGCAATCCTCTTGTCATCAGTAGGCACCATATCAGACTCTCTTTGTACCCCTCCTCTACTTACTTGTCTGACAGACGTACACCGAGCTCCTCTGGTCCGTTCAACAGCTCATGCCGATCGTGCTTGTAAAACACAACCACATAATGTCTTAGACCCTCGGAATACCACACACCAGGCATTTTTGATATTTTGTTAACAGTTTTTACGACCACCGTCGATCTGAACATCCATCACACTATACCACTTCTTCACGAAAAAAAAAAAAAAAAAAAAAAAAAAAAGACAGTTCCCAACCTCTCTACAAGGTCGACCCTTGTTTGTCGAATATGTGACTCGCCCTGACCACTTAGATGCAACTCTACAGACCACACTCATCGAAGGGCGAACACAATGCCTCGGCAGCTGTGCTGCCAGTGGCGTTGTATGAGTGCGAGCGACCGAGCGGCGCGGATTCTTCGTAGAGCGGCCGCTACGCCCGCTCCGCCCCTGGCAAAACAACACGCAACGCCCATACAAGGAGGGAGGGCGCCGGGCGAGTCGAATATCCTGGGCCAGGGTAGGGAGGAGGGGGGAAGGAGGGGGGGTAGGGGGAGGGGGGGAGGAGGGGGGGGGAGGGGGGGGGAGGGGGGCTGAATAAATACGCTGAGCTCCCACTGCGCGTATACTAGCTGTAGGTTGATTCCTAACGGTGAAACGGGCATCCGGTGGGGTACGGATTGGCAGCAAACAATCGATACGGCCCTGACAAATGGGGAGCTACGAGGCACATCATCGCTACTTTTAATGAGAAAAGATGGGGAAAAAACCCAAGCGCCGCAGCGCGCTAGCCCGTCGAACTACATTGCGGGAGCGAGGCTCGACTTTAACTAGTATTGTCACCTTATAGTTGGATAGTTAGATATTCTCTCTAACAGATGTGCGAAATAATCGTAGCATGTGTTGCGGTTCACGTGGCTAAGCCTACTCTTGACCTGCTTCTAAGATGGGAGTTTATTTCAAGGCTTGTTTGCCGCGATATGTTTTGTGCGGTTGGGGTACGGTTGGGTGCGGTAGTGCCTGGCTGGTAGGGGTGGTTTTGTTGGGACCATTCGACGTATAGATCAGTATTATAACCATCACCTGCATGTGGGTCATTTTATTTAGTTTTAACTGGTTAGATAACACATGTCGAGCTAACTTCTAAACCACCTACATGGACTTTGCCTCGCAATCGTTACCCGGATTAGCAAACACCAGGTTACCACCCGATTTTCAGATGATTCGAAGCTTGCTACACGCCATGATTACATTTGTTAACGGACTTTGGGGATAATGTCGCGTTTGCCCCAGGTTTTGGTCTTTCGCGTTTTCGTTGCAGGACGCGTTACAGATTCTGGTATTACAAAGCTAGATGAGGTGTACAATACAGTATGTACGCACTGGGCAAGAGCCAAGGGGGGTATGGTATGGAGTTGAAGGGATACCGCGCGATATCACGCTGTACCACAATAAAGGCCAAAACAACGCCTTGTAGATCTTATCCGAATTTGATCTGCCCACAAAACAAAGCAGCCCTCTGGGGCTGTGTGTGCGAGTCGGGTTCTCCAAGGCTTGAGCTTGTCGCGGGCGAAAATCGGTGGGCAAGTCCCCGATCTGCGAGGACGGGACGGGAGGAATTGATGGGTTTAACCAATCGCAGTGAAGCTTTCCCATCTATCGTGGCGTGTGATTGTCGCCGCCGCTTTTGTTTGGATACACCATGGCGTCGTGTGTCACATGTTTCGTTGTTTACCGGATCCTACAGTGTCGTGCTGTCCTTGGAGAAAGGACGACTTGGGCAGAGCTGACGATTCAAGTGCAATGCCCTCACATATGTCCGAAAATAAAGGGTTCATGGCGAGAGCTCGGTCGCTTAGCCGAAAATTTGTTGACGACAGACCTCCCACCGTTTAGGAGAATCCGAATCTCCTTCCACTCTCCGTCTTGGGGGGACTGTGAACGTTTTAGCGTAGCTAAACTTAATTATTTCTTTCATAACGTATGTCTCTTGGCACACTCTCGTGAAATACCCATCTTTGACGAGTCACCCGATTCTTTCGACACCGTGAAACGAGAGCCAGCTTCAAGGTTACCAAACAATTTAGGGGGTACATTTCCTACCCGAATTTGAGGATTTGTTCCACGAGGCTGACATGTTTCGTAGGAATCAATACAGTTCAAAACTGATCCCAAAGCAGGATTTGTACACATATCTCGTGGTAATTGTACAGCCTGAAAATGAGCGGCTTAGGAATTTTGGTTTCCACCCTGACCATTTCTGAGTGCGTAGACAGTATCCTCTTGTTCCTAGGGTCTAAGATTCGCAGACCCCACGGGGGCAAAAATTTGAGCACTGCCTAAGCTGACGTCAGGTTTCCTGACAAGAGAAACACTACATCGAGCAGTAAAATTTCGTGTAGAAACCCCAAGTATAAATTGTTTTCCAAAGGGTATCCGGATCTGCTCTTCAGGAGCTGCTTCCGGGGGTGAATACCCACTCGGCGGCATCCCGTGTGAAAATACTGGTTGTGAAAATACCGCGGGCTAGGTGTATTATTATACTTCTGAAATTATGAAACAATACAATTCATAACCTAACATGATAACATGATGAGCCTTCCCTGCTGTGCACAGAACTGAGATGTACATTTTCTTTCATCAGATGTAGGAGAAGTTTTTTCACCATTCAAATTGATTGAACGAACACATTATAATTCACAGGCCTACAAAAATGGCGAGGTTTTTCACAGGCCTTCCATCCATGATCTCGTGGAAGTATCACGTTAGAATTCTACAAAAAAAAATTGCTGGGGTTTTAAATATACACAATATTCTGAATTCTTATTTGTTGCTGATAGTACCAATCAGATGAAGTCGTTTGCAACTCGAGTATAGTAATATCCTTATGTAGAGGCAGCTGTATTGCTGCACTTCCTACCTTGAGGGACAGCCAGATTTGTGGCTTGTGATGACGTCCCACCAACAAGGATGCGCCGCACGAGTGAGTGACGGCTCGCCACCTTGGCAAGTTTCGCCTGTCGCCAATTGGCTTTCGCCTTATCGCGCGCTGCTACGTCACTGGTTTGCTCCCCAGCGCAGCGAAGATGAAGAGCGCACCACGTCAACGAGAACACCTTGTCATTGCTCACTGGAAAATACCCGAGATTCCATCGCACCTCTCGCGGGTAACTAGCCGCAGAGTACTGAACTTCCGAGTTGTACCGAAGTTTGATTTGTCCGAATGTTTCAGTACACATATGTAAAAGTTGTCGGGGCTTTTAGTGTGGGAGAGCGGCGTACTTGCAGTTTCAGAACCATTGAGCGTGAAAATGCCCACTATCACCAAAATTTCCCAGATGTCCAAGGAAAGACCGGAATCGCTTCTAGGGCAGCTTGGGTGAATCGGAGAAGTTCAAGACCTCCATCAACCATCCACAGCATTCATGGCTGACACGGATTTCTTCTCCTGATTACCACCACCGCACCGCCATGGCTGTCCAATGAATGCTTGTGAGTAGGAGAGCTGCACACGCAAGCACATAGCCACACCCCTCTTTCCTACGCTCCTTCTTGTTGTCTCTCCCTTCCCCTGCCTAACAAGGCACATCGATCAAGTCCACATCATTGAAGCGAGTTTCTTCGTCACGCTCTAGGGATTCCTCGCTGATCAAGCAAGAAGCACCCTAACTGGGGCTTAGCAGCAGTAACGGGTCGATGGCTCATCAGGTCTCCGTCAACCGCGCTCCTCTGACGGCCTATCAGCTCACAACCTCTAGGCCCTCCAGCCGAAATGTCGGCGGACACGTCAGCGGACACGTCAGCGCCTCCCATCGCCTCTGCTTGCATCCCACTGCCACCCCACTACCTCCTCTCGGCGCGCCTCCTCCTGCAACGAATCGCGTCACAACCGCTGTCTCCGCTTCTTATGGCGGCGGGTTGAGTCCCTCCTTGCGACAAAGCCGAAGGCGACGGGGGGAGACGCTGGTAGCATCGCGACAGTGTGCGACAGGTTTCGAGACGCCTGAATATACAAACAGCGCAACGCGGCAAGTGTCAAGTTCAACGCAAGCTTCAAGCTTGGCTAGGAATCCGTCTCCTAGTATCTCGAGCTCTCGAACACCGCACCGCTTTCGAGCAACGCTGTTAAGCAGCAGTGGTATTGGGTCTGTAGCCTGCCGCGGGTTCGCTGGCGAGGATTTTCGCTCGGGTTACCACAGTAGACACCTTCTTCGTCACCATCATTCGAATTCGGATTACCGACCAACCGCATGTCGTAGGCGCGGGGTTACTGTAGCAACCATGGCAACTGCCGAGGCAGGATTAGGTTCGGGACTGCGGCCAGGTTTGGGAGGAACGGGATTGGAGCTGGCGGTAGGTTCGGAGGGGCAGGGATGGCAACGGTCAGTAGCGGTGATGGAGGCGGTTCGGCAACTGGAAGCCATGATGCGAGAACCGGCCGCGGTGCTCGATAGCATGCAGGTACGTGACAGTATTCATGTGGTAATACCGGTGGGTGTATGTAACGCGGTGAACCAGTGCTCGATAGCATACAGGCACGCGATAGTAGCGAGGGCGGGAGAGTGGTATTAGCTGGGGAAAAGCGAGTCATGGCGGTATGGAAATAAAACGAGAACCGAAATGAAAGGGTGGATAAGTTCTCATCAGCGGACCCTAAGATTCTCATAGCCCATACACCCGCTCCCTGTCTCTCGCCTCCCACATCCCACATTCTCTTCCCCCCACCCTCCCCGAAACTCCGCCCCCCCCCCCCCCCCCCCCCACACGAGCAGGACGAGCTCTCTATAGAGGGCCTCGAGATCCTCATAGCATGATTCGCCCATTCACCTGCTTCCCTTCCCCGCCATCTCCCCTCCCCCAACCCCCTCTTCTCCCCTCCCCCTCCCCGCCCCCGCCTTCCCACCCTGAGCAGGACAAGCTCTCTATAGAGGACCTCGAGATTCTCGTCGCGTATTTCGCTCAACAGGGGCGCGACATGTGGCAGGCCCTCGAGGTCTACGATTGGATGGTTCGCGGAAACCGCGTGGAGCGCCAGACGCGGCGCCTCATCCACGTCATCATGGACCAGCGCCTCGGGCAGCTGCTACAGGAGGGCTGCCCGACGGAGAAAGTTTTGCGGCTGGTGGGCAGGATGGTGGATCTCGGGCTGCCCCCGGATTTTCCGCTGAAAAGAATGCTCGGGGAGGAGCTGTGGGACCGGGGGGCGGTGGTGGAAGTTGTGAAGCTTCTGAGAATGTTCCTGAGCGAGGAGGAAAGTGCATGGAAGGAGCAGGGGGTGGTCGCTGGAGTGAGGATCGTAGCTTTGGAAGAGGGGGAGGAGGAAGAGAGGGAGGAGGAGGAGGAGGAAGAAGAGTGGGAGGACAGTGCGACGGAGAGTGTGTGGGGTGGGTCGAGTGAGAGTGAGGATGAGGCGGAGATTGTTGGCGAGGAGGGAAATGGGGAGGTGAGGCGACATGACTGCGCAACTCAAAGGTAATAAGGGTTGCTGCTTCCCCCCCCCGGCCCTTCAC